AGCTCCGCTGGCTCCCGTCGCCTCGCACAGTAATTCCCTGAAAGCCCCCCCCACCACGCTCGAGGTTAACGCTAATCTCGCCGGCTTAAGGAGAGGTTAAAAAAATAAGGAGTAACAATTTGATTTGAAATAAACCTTTCTAAAGAAATCACAGTAAACAAAATCTGTTTGCCTAAGGAAACCCTCCTAGCAATCAGCTAGTAACACAACTGCTTGTGCTAATGAACCCAAAGCTGTTAATGTGGTTTCTTCAGTTAAATTGATTCATGAATTTTGAAGAGAACATTATCTAATGAATTTTCTTTGAATAGAAAGCAATTAAAAGGACAAATCAGTCTGATTAACCCCAAAGTCACCCTACTGCCACAAACGGTGTACAGTTTGAAATTATATCATAAAAAACTAGAGCAGATTTGCTATCTCTTTGCCCTCTACTAATCCATGTAAATTAATGAACAACAAAGTTAATTTCTTTGATGACCCTTTTCTCGTATCACCTGGATTATGCTGATGTTTAATTTGCTTAATGTTATAATAAAGACTAAACAGATTTTTTTCAATGAAGTGATTATCATTCCCTTCAGTTAAGAAGTGATTTTTATTATTTAACACATACATAATGGTGTATGGGTTTCCTTTAAGAACAAAATCATGTTTCACTATGTTCCTCTGTAACATAATCAATGTCTTTTCTGACAACTAAGAAAGAAAATGTTTTTAATTAGTTTGTTTCATTGCCAAAGCGGGAGCCTGAAGTTCTCAATTGGGGTGAGGGACCTTTCTCTTTTTTTTTCCCTTTTTCTTTTTTTTTTTTTTTTTTTGGCCAGCTCGTTCCACTCAGTAAGATATCCGCTGGTTAGATCTTCGAAGCTTTTACAAGTGCCTTGGAAGAGCAATAGGTGTTGAACCAAACTAAAACCCCGACATGGCTATTGGTTTCCCTTTTGTAAAATAGGCCTAGATTGGGAAGGTAAAACTCTGAAATACAGAAGAAAGCTGGCCCTAATGCATTTTCTTATTCGTTATTTCAGCAATTGGAACACTTTAGAAGCAATTTGCTGGTGAATTAAAATTAAAATAATGGAAGACACGTTCCTTTTCAGAGCCCGGTGCCGTTAAGGATGTGCTGTACCTTCAAGGTCACAGCTAGTCCTTACATTTTATAAGGTCTGGAATAGCGAGCAGTAGCTTGGGGGTCCCTACTATAAAATGCAGTCAGGCAGGAGAACAGGGGGCCGCTGGCTCTAGGGCTTGTGCTGCGCTGCGCCCCAGCTGAAGTTGGAAATTAACTGGAGATGCAAGAGCTTTGTAAAATAGGTAGAGCCACTTATTTCTTTCCTTTTTAATTTGACTCTATGCTAATTTATACGCCACCAATTTAATGGGAAACCACATTGTATGAGTTAACAGGATAATTGTACTCGAAGCAAATTAAAAATATAGGAAAATCAAAGCCTTAAATCCTTTTTTATAGTGATCAGTTACTTGAAGCGCTCTTTCTAATAATCATGCTTTTAAATATAGTAGTATAGGATACAATAACAGGACAGTGTATCGGGGCTGTTTTAATTTAAATTGAGACCATGCTTTGTGTTGGGTCTTTTGGATATTTTTTCCTATTTTTTTCAGCCACGCGTATAAACAAATACTCTTTTCCTCTGTTTTGCAGCTTCATTCACCAGACAAGTATTGTGGACCCTGTTGAATGATGTGAAATTTGGAGAGGCTATTTCGTACAAGCAATTAGCAGCCCTAGCAGGCAACAGCAAAGCAGCAAGAGCGGTGGGAGGAGCGATGAGAAGCAATCCTGTAAGTTCACGTCAACTTTCGAATAAAGTTGATGGAAGATGGAGGATTTAGACAGAAAGCTTTGTGGGTTAAATGTCATTAGATTAAATTTATCTGCTCTGAAAACTGGTCTACCATGAGTAATAAGGTCATAAGTGTTTTTAATCAGCAATAATGCACGTCCCAGTTTAATATGATTTATTCCCTACCATTTACAGTGTTAGGTTTGGAAGAGAAATATTGCACTTGTTTTAATTTGTCAGCCTATACAGATTTTGTTGTTCTCAAACTTTCTTACATATTGTTAGGTGAGGGAAATCTTTTATCACTCAACACTGACACCATTTGACGGGCTGTGAGGAGCTTTGAGTTAATAGTAGTCCATCCTCTCTGGCATGGAAGTACTTCTGAAAATGTGAGAGAGGAAGGATTTTAATCCATGTAGGTACATGTTTGAATCAAAACCCTAACGCAGAGTTTAGTTTGCCAATTTTGTTTTTTTCCACACACTCCAAAATAGCATAAATAGCATATCTCCATTGAGATGGGTTGCCTGAATTTAAACCAGCTGGAAGGAATAGCTCTCTAGGTTAGTCAGTCCTGTGGATTTTGGAGGAACAATATGTTTGAATACTTGGTCTCCGTCTCTGTCTTCCTGGTAGTTGTCTTTTTCTTTTAGTTGTCTAAGTCTAGATTTTCAGATGTATTTATGAACCTAAGTCACACTGCTTAGTGTCAGTGAAGTTAGGGAGAATCAGTGCCATTATACTTGCATCTTAGACAGTCTAATATATATATATATACATATATATATACTAATTAGGCTTAGTGTTTGGGTATATTCTGTTAGAGTAACCTAGATACTGAGTTAGGAGGTTTCTGGACTGGAAGAATTACATCATGAGCTGCACTGCAGGAGGGAGAAGGAGGGAGCATGGTTTCCTAAACCCACAGCGTTTGGGCTTTGGGGTATAAAAGCCCCATCTCTAGAATTAAACCTCATATCATTATACACAAACACTGGGCTCTGAATACACCTTAACGTGATAGTTTGGCTGCAGAGGGCTGGTGTTATAACCTTCGGCTGACTTGTTACTGTGCAAAGAAAAGGAAAAGCTGGTAAAGAGAATGCCACTATATCTTTGTTTTTTAACAGATTCCATTACTACTTGCCTTCTTTAAAAAAAAAAGTTTGATTTCTATTAATAACACTGTGGCCTTTTCAGCCATTCTTCAACATATGTTTCCCTATTACCACTTGCCCTTAGCAACATGTGTCTTTCCATACCTTAATACCTCTTTTTTCTCCAGTATTATACCTGCTCTAATCTTTGACCTCCCATGTTGTTTTTACATTCAGTCTTCTCAGTTTTTTCTTTAATAAGGTACATATGAGACTACAACATGTAGTTGCAAAGTGAATTCAAACGTCTTTTTTTTTCACAAGACCTGGTGGCTTTACATATACAAGTAATAGAGGTTGTGGGATTTTTTTTTTGCCATGCCATGTATTATCTTTATATTTCTCCTCATGCATAAAATCTAACGCATAGCCAACCTGCATATTATGACTGGTAGGTCTAAATGACCATATAAAGATTTATATGGAAAATGTGAGAAACACATAGTGAAAAGGTGGTCCCGTTGAAGTATAAAAGGACTATATGTGTGATTTCCTGTGGAATATGTATGAAATTACAGATTAACTACAATACAGGAGATGTATAGTAATAAAAAATGTGTTTTGGACAGGCAGGGCTGTCATTACAGTACCGATTTTTTTTTTATCATCAGCTTTCTGTTGTGAGATATTGGGATGGTGTTATATAGCTCTTTTTCCCTAAAGCTATACAGTAGTATCTATAATATGCTTAAAAAATGTTCTGCTGGAAACAGAAAACACTACAGCTCTAGTATGGGATGGGAAATAACAAAAATAAGGTAGGACCCCATTTTAAAAAATTGCAGTAGCTTTGCTGTATATTTTCAGAACTATTTTCATCCTTCCTCACAAGGGAAAAAGCAGGAATTTTCACACCACAACCTGCTGTTACCGCTGCTTTGGATGCTGCTGCTCCACTGCAGCCTGAGGGCAAAGCTGGGTACATTTCTAGGCGATAGCAATTACATATCCTTTTGCACAACACTGTATTGTTATTCTTTGAGAACTGTTTCCTGTAGGTTTGCATTGTATTGCCTTATCTTAATGTACACCGTATTATATTGGAAATCATTCCATCATATTAAAATAGTTTGTATTGTCAAGTACAATACAGTGTATTGACAAAACACAGCTTGATGCTGTTTATATGAACTGTTTCGTATGAAAATCTCATATACACTTAAAATATCACTGTATACTTCTTTATTGAACTTAGAACCCTAAACACGTTAGGCAATCTGTTAGTTTATATGGTAGTGCACAGTATGTATAGGATTTTAGGATACCCATGAACATCATCCATTTATAAACACATTTGAAGTCTGTTTATCGGGTGAGATATTGAGCTTTAAATCTGACGAAACAGTTCATTAAACTGAACATGTCATCCCAACTGCAGCATCATTAAAATATTAGCAAAGAATTCCTACAAGGACTGTAGCATTTGCGACTGTTACACCTGTAACATGAGCTCTGAGATATAAACGCCGTTTCTGAGTAGCATTTGCTCAAAATTGTTGCCAGAATGTGGTGTTCTCCAGTATTCTCTTAAGCAGAATGCTGTTGTGTCTTCCAACCATATGCTAAATAAATGGGTGGAGGAATTTAACTGCAGGAAATGCATAGGTAGCAGACTAGTGATTTTTGTTTACGAGAGAGAAGTTGAAACTTTAATGAATAGTTTCCTTAATGATTACTACCAAAGCTATGCAAAATCCTAAGTTGTTTGCACTTTGAGATGCTTCTTAGGATTGTTAACAGCAAGCGGTGCTCACAGTCCTATTCCCAAACACTTATTCCTAACAGCAACAATTCCTGTTCTACTGCTGTTCCATTCCTGTCATGTTATGAATTTCTGTCCAAGTATGATCTGGGTGACTAAACTGTAAACATGATTTAATGAGGATAGTAATGTTAGTCAAAAGGAGTGTTTGACATAAAACAGAACTGCCTGCAGAACCGGACACTAGTGTTACTCAAATTGAATATATTGATAAAATTGTGTATCTTACATTTCTCCACAACATATCAAAATATTTCTCCCTTCTGCAAATCATGGGTTGGTGTTTCATTTTGTTAGTGTGCATTCTGCAAGTTTCCCTTTGTGTTTGGGTTGCTTCACATAATTCATACAATGACCTTCAACTTTATGAGAAGGTGGACTAGGTGCCAGTAGCAGCTGAAAGATGCAACATCTTTGCTTCAAATTATACCAAGGACATGGTGGGAATGGCTCACCTTTTGCAAGGAAGGCTTCAAATAGTTTACTGCAGTTTAGATTGATTGCAAGGTCTGTGGTCCTCAAAGGGAACCCATAAAGTTCAATTAAAAATCTCATTAGACTAGTATAGGAGGATCAAAAAGAAATCACAGAGGCTCATGGGAAATGGCGAATGTTGGGCTGATTAGTCCAAGGCCATCCTAAATGACTATTCTGTGGCTTAAATAAGATATCTTCAGTGGTCTGTTAACAGCAGTAATAGCTGCATAAGTTTTTTTTTTATATATATATTCTATCTGATTGTGTTATTGTTCAGGCTAAAACCTAACTAAGTGTATAACTCGATGCTAATATCCATCGAGTGTAAGTCAAGGACATTATTCAGCCAAAATGTTTTAAACATTTTAGATTGAATAGAGTAATTGTGCATTTAAGAGAAGATTGTGAAGTATGGATTTGTAATGTTGGCAAACACATAAAGCTACTTGTGCATTAATTCCTTGGGTGGCTTGCAATAAACTTGAACCCATGCTGGTTCATATTACAGTATTTGTTTCTATAAGGGAATAGGGAGAGAAAAAGCAATAGGACATGAGCAAACTGAAAGATTGTTTTCTGCTAAGTGTGATTTTTTGTTGTATGTTATAACTTGATATTTCAGCTGTTTCCATTATGGCCTCACTGATCCATTTTTGACAGTTTGGCAGTTTCCTCTAAGTATTCAGTCCATCAGCCAGTATAATAGGATGGTCAGTTTTCTATTGCGTCAAGCTGAAAACTCTTAACAAGCGGAGCACCACCGTTGAACACCGTTCTGTTTCATCCTCAGACAGAATTTGCTAAATGCAGTTCAAAGGCAATCGATACCTTGTGCAGAGAGTTTTTTCCCCACCTTTTTCTAAACAAACGCATTATTGAGGAGTTAGTTTATTCACAGATTGCCATGAGCGTTAATGACCACCCGAGTCTTGTTCTGCCAGTCACCTAGATGGCTGTTGATAAAGATTTAGCATCATGTTCTAAGTGTCAGGCCTGTCAGTAGTGCTGAACCATTTGACCAGAAGAAAAAACGCACAGGGAGCTATTGATTACAGCTTCTCAGTGTCACTTGTTCACCAGGATTTAGGTATTGATGAGGCTGCGAGTGAAAACAAGCTCTTTCCATTGTGGGCCTCTTTCCAGAAGAACAAAAGCAAAGTTGGAGAAAATATTCAGCTGGTACCAGAATCAGAGGGATTCCAGTATTGATTGAATGGCCCCTTCATGTTATTTTTGTTGGAGACAAATCTATGGGTTTGGAAGTTTTATAGCATTTGAGATAGGGTCTGTGTAAGTGATGGATTCATGTATTAGATGAATTAGATTTCACAGCATGAAGATTTCAGTGGAGCTATAATATTATGAGCTGCTTGGTTATTGATAAAAATTACATTAAATGTAGCTGAGGCATTAAAGCTCAAGACTAGGATAGTATTCCTTCTAAAATGTCCTTAGGGCCCTAATAAATTTTAGCAGGTTTAATTATTTTAGTAGTCTCAAAGTTGTCACCACAATTAAACCAAACTGAAGCAATATTCAATATTTTTAAATTACAGAGCCGATACAGTCTTTGTAATGCATTTTCTTTTATATCTGACACTATGTAGAACGACGTACGCGCATTTGCGTGTGCTGTGACAAACTTGGTTTGAAATTCTTTATTTCAGGCATGGAAGAAGTTTTATTTATGTCATAACTTTCATCTCATTGGCTGCATTCTCCAGTAACTACAGCCTTTCAACTAGCATAAAAGCTGTGGTACTGCAGCCCTGCCAGCTCGGCACCCTATCCTAAAAAAGGAGCTCAAAAGTTACTTTGGATCTTCTGTCTTGTAGCAGTGGCAAATTCTTTCCGCTTTGTAGAGGCAGAAAGAGAAGAGTATCCTACTAGAGATCTGAGATTCCCGGTTTCCTCTTGATATCCAAATTATCTAGGTCAAATTTCCTCCTCCCCTTTTTCTGTGGTGGTGAAGTGATGCAGCCACATATCCTTGAGTCTGTGCTTTGAGGAGATCTGAGCATCGTTCAGGCCCTTCAGCGCCTGCCAGCTCTCTGCCTGCAGGTGGCCGGGCTCCACCTGAAAACAAAGCCCTTTTTTTCCACTTGGGTACACCTTCCGCTTTCTCACACAGTTTAGCAGGGGAACGTACTGCCAGAAAGTAGCCCTAAATGGTAAATATTATACATAAATTTTTCTAATGATTTCCTTTCCAACATTTTTTTCTTCCTCCATTCCTTCTCTTTCTCTTCAGTGTCTGGATCCATCCATTAAACTGCTGAATGGTGGGATCACAGAGTCTAGATCCAAAATGAAAGAAATGTGAAGTTGCACAGCACCCCACACTGGAATCCCAGGTGGGGTTTTGGATTTGAGGCATCTGAATTACTTAACAAAACCAAAAGAACCTCCAAAAACCGTTTTTAAAGGTCTGTCGACCAGCTGTCCAGCTGCTGTGAGGTCTCAGACTCTAATAATGAGCACAGCTTGAACTTTACTGAAATAAACATGAAACACGATTAAAATAAGTCAATGTAAAGTATGCAATTTGTGTGTATATGTATTTAAATAATATTTTTGACTTAAAATATCCAATTTGTAAAAACTACACTTATTAGTAAGTTGTTTCTTTCACAGTTATCACTACAGTTGAATTCCTATGTGCTTACAAAAACACATACTGTGCTATTAAAGATGATGTACTGCATTTTTTATGATGTGTACTTCAAGGATGATAATCACCTGTAATAAAAAAATGCATTTATGTACTTCTGTACATTATCAGTCTATTATGTAACTTACATTGATTTTTTTCAAAATCCTTGACATTTGGCTATAAATGATACAAAGTAGATGGTATGAAAAAAGTTCTTAAATTGGTTAGGTGTGAATTAAATCTCTTCTGTTGTAGATTTTAAAAATTCACAACCCATTTTGGATTGACTTGCTGTTAAATAATAAATAATGCCTTGTTCTTATATAGAATTTTTCATCAGTGCACCTGCAAGTGTTATACCAAGAAGCAGAAATGGACTGAGCAAACTGAGACTTGGGGAAGGGGTACAGCCTACTTATAGAAGGGTTGCTCTAAGATTTTTTTAGCCTTTTTCCAGAAGAATGGCCTCTTCAAATTCTAGCATAAATGAGCGTCCGTAATCATCCGCCACCTCTGTGCTATCCTTACAAGCATTTTGGGATGGCACAGTCTGGACATGTGGATGTAGCTTTGTGATGTGCAAGGGCCTCGCTACAAGCCCCTATGTGAGCGTGCAGAGCCGGGCGTCCAGGATCTGGTCGCTGATCAACGCATACCTTCGTCCTTCCCCCGCTCGGAGTACATCTGTGGGGATCGAAAGTCAGAGAGAAATCTTGTGTCTTTACCTCCTTTCCTTCTATCTCCTTGTTGACGCATAAGTACTTGAAAGCTACTTCATGGTAACACATCCCTCGTGAAGAAATGTGCAGAATATGCTTTTTAAAGTGTGTGTGCATCTTCATGTCGTCTCTGTTTCGGGGAAGAAGTCACAGGGACACACACTCTGCCAAAAAAAAAAAAAAGGAATAATCTGAAAACAATGTTCTGGCATTCTCTAAAATCTGGGTTTTGATATTAGGAAGCTGTATAATTAAGGACCGTCCAGTGAGAGTCATTAATAAATCCACTAGCATATTATTCAAGGCATTTACTTATTCTTTAATGTGAAAAGTAGATGCCATGAGAACCAGATTGTTCTGCTAAAAGAAAGACCACATGTTAGACTGTCTGATATCAGGGAGCTGTAATTTTTATATATGAAAAATGCTTTTTTATGCTAGGAAACATGTCAGTGCCCACTAGCAGCCAAAGGTGAATGCAGCTGCCTGTGTGCTTTAGAACTTGGGCAATGTGACAATAATTCATTTTATCTTTTAGCATCCTACAAGTTTATGCTTTATTTAATTTAGCAACTCTGGGAAGGAGGAAGAAAATCACCATTTACAAAGGCAAGGTTTAAAGAAGGAGGAGATTACGTTGGTTATAGTTGTTTGGCTTCTTCTTCATCTTTGGGAGAGTTTGCTCTTTAGGAAGGAGCATGTTCTCTCTGCCTTCAAAATGCTGCTTTGCAGTGGATGGAGCAAGTCAGACCGCCTCGAAGGTGGTGGTGGGTCAGTCTTGTGGCTCCTCCTGTCCTGCTGCAGCAAGGTGACATCTCCACCGGAGGCTCTCGGGACTTGACGGGGAACGGCCTGAGCCTGCCAGCTCGTAACACGGAGGCCAGCGAGCTACCGTCCCTCAGCACAGCATCTGGCCCAGTGGGCCAGGGGGTGGTTCGGCCACCAAATGACTGTGCGTAAAAACCCAATGTTATTTTTCCTTGGCATTGGGTTGGTCTTCAGGGCCCATCAGCGTGGCCAAGCAGTCAGTAATCCACGCGCACTTCCACCATGTCGCAGCTCAGCCAAAAACGCGGCCTCAGCCTAACGGCTAACCTGTCTTCCTAGCAAAGTGCCGGTGAGTCTCCTAGGGTGGGCTTTAACTGAAATACTGAAATCCATGCCGCTGCTCGTTTCGTGGAAGGCGACTAGTGGTTCGGTAGCAGATTTATGGCTATAACCATTTTTCACACTAGTCTTCTGCCACCACCTCCCCTTTGCTCCATCCTTTGTGGTCTTTCTCTGCCCGTTCATTACTGATGGCAAAATGGTTATGCTTGCACAGTTTTTCTGCCCTTGATGGACCTCTTTCCAGGTATTCTGGTACAGTGACTGTGCTGGGAATTGGGGGGAGTTGGGTGGGAGCAGAGAGCACCCAGCACGGACAGCAGCAGAGCCCGGGAAGGCCAGCAGCGAACCACAGGGTCTCCCGCCAGGCCCCCAGCACCTCCAGCAAGGGCACTGGGGTGAGATCTGCCCTTGCGAGGAGACAGTAGGGTCGAGAAAAAGGTGGCTGTTTCGGGATCCTTATTGTTGTGTGTTTTGCAGATCCCGATTATAATACCGTGCCACAGAGTGATTCGCAGCAGTGGAGAGACCGGCAACTACGGAGGAGGAAATCTCATGAAAGAGTGGCTGCTGTCGCACGAGAAGCTCCAGAAAGAAAAGTTAGCATATTGATACAGCTCAGCCCCGGCTGTTAAACAGCCAAGACACATCACCAGAGATACTTGCCTTGTAACAAGCTTTCAGCGCGCACAGTAGAATTCAGAAAAATGGTAAATATTTGAGTGACATATAAATATAATGCAACATCCGAAGTGAAATGTGTGGTGGCACCACTATATTAAAAGAGCCGGATGGGTCCTGAGGGATGCAGCTCGTATGCCCTTTCTTGTTTTTACATTTTACAGCAGAATGACTACAGCGGTCTAGGCCTGTTGTGCATGTATTTCGTTCCCATCTCCAGTCTTGTTTTGTTCTATTTTTAATGGCCATTAAAGCAAGGATAAGGGAGTGGGAGGGGCATGGCAAACGTGAGGTGCGACTGGGGGGCCGGCGGTACCCTCGGCGCGGTCTGCGCGCCAGCCCGCCTCCCGCTCCCGTCCTGCCCGGCTTTGTGTTTGTCCAGGCTGGAAAGCTTGTCCCCCTGCCAGCGGCGCTGCCCAAGACTCGCCTGTTTTCTTTGATGTTTGAGCTGTGGAGATGGTGTTTTACGTAAACAGTAGTTAATGGGAGGCTTTGAGAATCACTCAGAAGGAAACAGCCATTGAACTGCTTAGTCACAGCTTTTCTTTGCCGGCTGTAAGAGATGCTCCAGATAGGAATAAAAATTCTGCCTTTGTTAGCCGTGCAAAAAGGCAGGTAGGGGAGCAGGCGCTGACAAATTGTAGCGAAGGCAGGTAGGTTGCCCTGCCTTGCACAAAATATTACAAAAAATCATCTCGCTTGTATCTTTTTGTCAGCAATACTTTTCCTTTTCTCGTTCGATCTGCTTTAGATTTTTGCGTTCCTCTGTTATTAAAAGCTTTATCTCCTCTAGCTTCTCTGTCGAAAGGATTCTCCTGTTCACGCGTTGTTAAAGCCAAATTTTCTGATTGTTTGAGAAGGGCTCTCTGAAAGTGTGAGCCAGCGGGAGCTGGAATTTTCAGTGTGGGAATCATAAACTCTAACTTGGAAATACTGATTTTTGTATGGTTCCTCGTATTTTCCTAGATGTCTCTTTAGAAAAGGCCGTTGCTAACCAAGGAATTATTGTGTTACAATGTGTTAGTTAATATAGCAGTGTTGGTATCTTAGAATTACTTCAGTAAAAAAACTGCTTTGCATGTACAAGTGTCTTTGTGTATGTTTATAAATAAAACACAGTATATGATATATGGAGAAAATAAACTATACCCAACTGTGCAATATAAAGCTGTATTTTTATCAAGGGTTTCTGGTGGCAATATAAACCACGAAAGCAAAGCTCAAGTGGTTTGTACGTGTCACCAGAACCCTGAGATAAAAATATAGCCTTATAATATGTACAGTTTGGGTGTATTTTTTTTTTTATAATACATAATACCAACAGAAGAGCACAGTATCTAATGTAAACTTTAACCTTTTTCACATTTACTTCGCTTGCTATTTATCTAAAGGTATCTGCCTCTGATCTTTCACAAATGCATCTTTATTTCTGTACCTGCAGCGGATGCGAGGCTCGTTTTCGGGGCGGTAAGACCTTTCCGAGGTAGACACCCAAGCTCCCGGCAAAACCGCGCTCGCCCTCGGAGCATCCCGCCCGCAGCGACGGCTGCAAGCGCACGTAAGGGGCGGCGGGCACTTCACCCCCAGCGTTCGGGGTGACGTGCTACTGCGACCGGTGGCACCCGTTACTGCAGCGCATCGCTTGGCGCGGTAAAGCCGTAAGCGGGAGCGGTGTAAGGCTGGGCTCTCGCGCCACTCGACGTCGGCTGCGCGGCTGGCGCTCGCCGCAGGGGCAG